GCATCCATTTTTAAAGGTGTCTCAGGTGGGGCTGTGTGTCCCCGTGGCTTTTAATGAAGCAGTCACTTTCATTCATTGGTTTTTTCACCATGATGAGAAGTTACTCTGAAAAGACAACGCTTCCTCTCACTAGCAATTGAATCCCATGAGCAACAGAATGTGTCAGAGTGTGTAATCTCACCTCTGCCCTGTGTTACTGGTGGCCTCTGCACTGCCACGTGCCTGTTGCTGTGCTGGTGCTGTGTAGATTCTGCATCACAGCAGCCCAGTCCCAATTCCAGCTGCTGAAGCTCTAAGTGCTGGGGTGTGCAACTGAGGTGCAGGAAAACTTTTCTTGAATAACTTCTCAACATGACATGGGGCCAGTGAAATCACCAAGTGCAGCCTCATATGGTTCTTTCCTCTGGACCTTGCTTAACAGCCAGTAGATGCCAATTCAGGCATTGCAAGGCTATCCTGCCAGAGTAACCTGTCAGAGGCCACTTGCTATTCACTGGTGTCTCCCTTGGTGGCACCTTGCCATGGAGCAGCTGGACTCAACGTGGCATGAGCTGATGTGGTCCTTTGTGTGAACTTCCTTGAAGCTGATGAGTTCCTGGAGAGTCTGGCACCTCACCACTGCAAAGTTTACAGGGTTGGTTGTGTGTTCCAGTTGCCTTCCACAGGGCACCCAGTAGTGCTGACCCTGTCCTTGAAGTGGTTGTGAAAAGAATAAACACATTAACAAAGGTAAAATAAATATTATAGGTAACAGGAATGTGTCTCTTGGTCACCTGGGTCGGTGGTGGGCAGGGGAAGCTCTTCTGTGTCAGGCCTGATGACCCCATGCTTGATCCAGAGACCTGGTGCATGGAGGGCCTCTTAGTATGTTATGAGAGCTCAATGTGATTAGTAATTAGCATCCTTAAGCAGATTCAGGGTGGGTATGGTGGGATTATCTGGCATGGTTTTCCTTCTGGTGTTTCATGGCAGTGTATTTGCACTTTTCTAACTTTGTGCCTTTCACATGTTAATAATGTGTGGATGGCAGTTTTAATCTTCAGAAAGAAGCATCTCTTCCTCTGAATCACTTTGTAAGGAAATGAATAGCAGTCATGGTTCCCATGTTTCAGTGGCATGCCACTTAAAATTTGGAATACCTAACACCTTTTCCAAAATTAACCACAACTGGGATCAAGGTGCACACCAATATATAAATAATATAGCAACAGTATATGAGCAATCACGGGTGTGGCTTCCATGTATGATTCAGACAAAATAATGAGCTCTGTGGATGAAAATAGGCATTTGGGTGGGGATTATGCAAGGCCTGAATTACGATGCAGGATGGGTGGGGGTAACACCTCTTTCAGTTTACAAATGCTAATCACAAGCTCAGCAGCCAGAAATTTCTGCAGTGCTATTTAACGAATATTAATAAGTATAATTAAACGTTGTGTGCTAGATTTTCAGTGCCAGGAAGCTGTGTGAAACAGAACATTGGCTGTATGTTTTCAGTTTTAAATGAATACAAACTGTTCTGAAAAGCAAGCTGACAGGAAATGGTAAGATTAGCCTACTTCACAAACAAAAGTTTACCCTAGGAACATTGAGTACACCCAAAGAAAATCAATAGGTTACCTAACTGCAGAGTGCCTACAAGCAGATAAAATGAGGGTTTACCTTCATCTCCAATTTCCTTCTTGACATAATCCACTGAGTATGTATTTAACATACAGCTTGTAATATTAAAAGTGTTTATAAGGGCCACAGTCTGTAATCATGAGTTTGAAGGCTGGGAATTCCACCATGACTGATCTGGCCATCATCTTAACCCTGAATTCTTGACAAGACTTGGTTTGAACACCATCAGCAACTACTCTGCTGTAGTAACTGCCCTTGCAAAATTGGTGTCTTTGTCCTGGACTAGAAGAATGCTTTCTTTATTCATGTCAAACTTAACACTTCACTCAAAATGTTTAAAAACAAAACCAAGGCTGCAGCAGGAGCACATGTGATGTTGCTGGGTGCTCCTCTGCAGTTTCAGGATGGCAGTAATTGTGCCTGCTGCAGTCTGGGAGTGAATGGAAAACTCTTAATGACAGCAACAACAATCAGTGCATTTAAATGACTGCAGATTTTAATGATGTCGTCAATCAGCATACTTCCGAATCAGGTTTACTTTCTGGTTTATCTCTTGTGATGCAAAAGAAGCTGATGATCAGCTACAGCTCTGTGTTATTTACTGACTTTATCTGTTTAACAGCAAGTTAATATGGTGAAGTTTAGCTAATGGGTTTTTCAAGTCACCTAGTACTAGCACTGCCTCTTCTTTTCAGGAAAAAGTGAGGCAAACATCCTTTCCTTTAGGTACCAGCCAGACTCAGCTCCTCTGGGTTGATTTGCCAGTCAAACTCACCAAGTAAAGGGCGTTCTGCAAACAGGGTGAATATGACAGATGCCTTTTGCTGTCAGTTGTTACTCATCGTGCTTTTGCTGGTGCTGTCAATGGTTTTGAGCCTGGGGGAGAGGGCACCCAGCACCCTCCTCCCATTCTCAGCAGCCTTGCTGCCAGACACATCCCAACGATCCTGGGCTCCCCGTAGGGCTGTGCTGGATCCAGTATTGTGGTACACCCCCTTTGCCCCGGCATAGTTGCTGCCTCCTGCCACCCAGGAGTCCTCCCTGGCGTGGCTGGGTGGTCACAACAGGAATCCTGAGGCAAGGAGAGTGCTGAGGGCAGGGGAGCAGTGTGGGCAACCTGCTCCTGCAGTCAGGGGGCTGTGAGCAGCACTGCCCTTCCACACACACACATCTTCTTTCCCTGCTTTAACACAAATTCCTGGACCCTCCAAACTTCAGTTTATCAAGTTGTAACTGCTTTGAAGTGTGATTATTCCAGTCAAATCTAGCTCTCAGAGGCAAGCTGTCAGGCCTTGCTCAAGTAAGTCCAAACTCTAAATATTCAAACATGTGATCAGGCTGTTGCAAAAGCATGTTGTGTCCTGACAAGTCTTATCATGTGCCAGGGGATGAGCAGAGAAATGTCTTCTGGCCAGAACTTGCAAAGCTTCCCCCACAGCTCTACAGCCTTAATTACTCACTTGGAAAACGAAATAGTTTTTGGATCATGCAGCCTGATTCCCAAAGCACAGGAATCTGGTGTCTAAGAATACGTGCAAGGCTTCCACCTGCTTTTGTCAGTGACCCCTTCACAAAAAGAACCACTGAATTGTGGACCAAGTTGTCAGTGAGACCTCTTTACTACAGAATTTTAAAGATAAAACAGTCAAGTTCGTTTTACACTGTAAGACTTGCCTGTTAGTTACTTTCCTTGTACTCAAGAAGCATGTGAGCTCTGTAACCTGTTTGAATGTCTTGCTCATGGCCAAGCAGTTCCTTGCTTGATTTCTGAAATGTTAACTTCTTAACATTGTGCTGTAATTCAGCTGACACAGCTCCAAGTAGGAAAGTTAACATCACTATAGTGACTTTTTTTTTTTTAAATACTCAGGACTGTGTGGCCAATACCAAATACCCTCAGCAAAGCAGTATGCAATTTTTTTTTCCCTAGGAGAAAAACACATGGAGGTTAGGTTAAATGTTTCTTAAATGTTTCAGGAATTTCAGAAAAGGTTATGTAAGACCATTCAAAAGCACAAGTTTTATAATGGTTTTAAGTTTTTCAGCACTATAAATATGATAATAGCTTGTACACAGAAGCAGCTCAAGTAAAAAACCTGCTGCTACATTAGCTGTTTTTTTAGGGCACCTCTACTGCTAACAGAAGTGAAAATACATGCTGGAATGCAGGGCTGGAGGTACTGTAACAAATACCCTATTTTATACCAGATATGTTTAAGGAAAAAAATGTGGAGTATGGGGAATGGAGTGGGACCCAGAGGCAAAGGCCAGGAGAGATTTGTAGGGCAGTTACTTGGGTTTAGAGGGAGTTCTACTGGAATGACAACTCCTGAGTCTGTGCCAGCTCTAACAGTCTGTGAGGGAGAGCTGCAGCTTGGCAGGGTCAATCTGTTTGCTGCAGCAGTGTGGTGGAACTCAGAGTTTACATTATTTTGGGGTCCTAGAGCTGCAGCCTTCCCCTTAAATACAAGCACTTTTAAGCATAGATTTGACCTTTTCATCTTATGAAAATCCAGGGGTGGAGGGAAAGCAGAGCTTTCAGTAGGCTGAATATGAGTTGAAAGCCTTGCACAGGATTAGGTAACTTGTTTATGTTTTGAAGCCTATCATCTGCATGGGCTCTTACTGCTATGGCACAGCAGTAGGTGTTCCAGCACCTTCCTAAATCTCAGCAACCCTCCAAGGTGTAAGAGCCAAGGGATTGGGCATTACTGAAAAACTGCATCTGACATTTTTCACAATGTCAGTACAATTCCAAGGCTGGTACCCTGTTTTATTCTAAAATAAGCCCACTGACAGAAACATCCACACTGCCAGATCAAGGCAAGTGTTTGCCTGCATACACAGCCAGAGGATCAAAGTTATGTGATGCTTTGTATCTTCAGTAACCTCATCCAGGCCTTGCATACTGTGGTGAAATACACTTGCTTTGTGATAAGTATTCACAGTTTCTTTCCCCTCTGCACAATTATAAGTATTTCTTTCCCCTCTTAATCATGCTGTTTTTCACCAGGTGAGAAATTGAAGACAGGAACACTACTGCCCTTTCCTTTCTGTACACTGGTGGCTAACGTGCTATAGGTGACTCTAAAAAAACCAAAATCATTAATAATGTTAGGCCAGATAACTTAATCTTACAGGATGTTTTATTGTCAGCACAAAACTATAGATACCATGCTACCAGTTAGTAGGGTGGAATTGAAATTAATGGTGTGCAATGTGACTTACTGAACACTTCTGCAGAAATCTTGAATTAAATGCAAGCTGAATTCAACATCTGTTGCACATTTAACATTACTAACTTTGAACTTTCCAGTAAATGCAGAACTAAAATGCAATTGCATGCACTATTCAATAAAACAAAAAACCAAAATGTATCATAAATAAGTATTTTATAACTTTATTAAACTCAAGACATGACAATATTCAAAATACAAAGTGAATTATTTTTTATTCAATACTGTACACAATGCAGAAATATCAGTGCATTTCTATAGCATGTATTTCACCTTCATTTAGTTTGTACTAAAACAAATAAAAAGTAAGCTTAAAATAGCTCAAACATCTCATTCAGCAGTTTAAACTGTAAACACCTTGTTTACTTCTGTTAGGAGGAACACATTCATCTTCTGCACCCCTGTTAATGAGCACCCTTTCTCTTGTGCTTATCTGTGAGAGGATAAATGTAACCAAACTGAGCACAAGAAACTGCTAAGGTGGCACCTCAGTGAACTTCAGTGAATGGCTGAGGCACAGTGAGGAAAAACAGCAAGAAGCAGCATCTGAAGCAGCAAGAGATGGGACTGACACTGTTCATAAATGGAATCATGTTTTTTCCTCACACCCCCCTCCTCCTCCCCTAAAATACTGAACAGAAACCAGAACACAAGACCAGCTTGTGCTGTGTTTCTGTATTTAATACAGTCATAATTTCTGACTCTAGGTGAGCACAAAGTTGTTACTGCCTACCTAATAGCAACCCTGTGGCTGCTCAGGACACATTCACACATTTCTAGGATCCAGCAGGAAAAGAGCAGCAGCAGAGGCTTAGCAATAGCTGGTCCAAGTCTCTTCTAGGAAAAACTGCAAAATTGAGCCAAGTGTGTCTAGCAATTGAATTCACAAAATCTAACTCACTTTAAAAGTCTATTAGCATCAAATTAATTTGTAAGATAGATTAATCTTTCAAAATGCACTTCCAATATGCCTGCCAAGTCTTGAAGTGGGTATCATATCTCACATTTACCTTGTTATAAGACATATCCTAGTAAAAGAGGACAGTCTGTTCTCAGTAGAATTACTGTGTAAAAGAAATTTTGGAAAATAGCTATTACAAAAACTGTACTGCATTACTTGGTCTGTTGTCTGCTTTATAAGTGACTCTTAAGCAAAGATCAATTTTTAAAATTTTTTTTTAAATAATGCTGACTACCAAACATGTTCATCTGGGTAGCATACAACTGGCCAACTGTGACTACTATCCCTCCATGTTTCTGCAGAATCTTTATAGGTTTTCAGCTTACATACCAAGACAAGAAAAGTCTTAAGAAACATATTGAATATATGCAGCATAAGAGGACTTTACCATCCACTTGTCAGTTCTCAGAGGACAAACTGCTCCTACTTCATTATCTGTGAACCATAAGAACTTTGTAACATGATAAAGTTCAGCTCCATCCCAAGCAACTGAGCTGAGCCTGTGCTCCCAGACACTACGGGGAAACCACGTAGGACAGGTGTTTTCGTTTCAGGGGACCACCTATGTCCATTCTGGGCTTTGAGTCCAGTTTTATTGGGGCTGAGGTGGCTGTGCAGTCACCAGACCAGGACTGAACCTCAGTGTTAGAGCTCCTCTCCTCTGCTTCTCTGAAGAATTTCTCATACTTGTCCAAATATGGAGGTCTCTCTGGTAGCAGATAGTAGTGTGTTGAACTGGCCTTCTTACCATTTTCAATAATTGGAAGAATGCAAGGGACCCTGTTGGAAGATCCTTCACTGTTTTGTCTTTGTAGAGCTTTGCTGCTGACATACTTAGGATCAGGTGCAAAGCTCTGGGTGGGGGGCATAACCCCATTGAGGTATGATGGGAGGCTTTTGGGGCTGGGGGTGCGGGAATTGCTGCGTGACAAAGGCTCTCGAGGGGGCACTTTGGGAGGCCTGTCTTCATCACTGTACGCACTGGAAGCAACTTCTGCTGACCACCTCCTGTAGTCTGGCTTGAGAGCCCGTGGGGGTATAGGAACCCTTGGTGGAATCTCTGGTTTATCTTCATCAGAAGTTGGAGATGCCCTGTTTAAGTGTCCAGTTAGTCTCACTATGGGTTTATTGAGAGATCCAGCTGGCCCGGAATGGGACCTTCGCAGGCGTCGATGCAGCTGCTGTGGGGGAGGATAAATACTGGATATGTACACATTTAGGCTTTGTGTAGGGTTGGCATCTTCTGGTTTTGGTCCTGTTGGAGCATCGAAATAGGCATAGTTGATTTGTCCACAGCCCCTAAAGCTCCGACGGCTTGGAGCGCTGGATTTAAAAGGAGGAAGTTCATAATCTTCTAACAAAAAGTCAGTATCTGAGCTAGTCAGGAATTCTACCTCTTTGTCAACCTCATCTGGAGTAAAGTCTTCAGATATAGGCAGAGGGGGTAGTGGCCTGCAGCTGCGGTCATTAGCAGATGCAGACAGAAATGGAATTGGTCCATTTTTTATTGGCATGTGAGGAGGTGTTTCTTCAGAAACACAGCCCATGGTTAATGACAGTTTACTAAAGCCAGGAACGAGATGGTCGTCGTACCTTGAAATTGGCTGTTCATTTTTGGGACTTAAAGGAGGTGGACTGGATTTCTGAGACGGGACTGGGATGCAGCTTCCAGCAACGTGGTCATTCATGGAAGGCTGGTTGGAAGAGTGCCCTAAAAAGGTGAGAAATTCTTAGAGACACTTTTCTAAGTAACATTCCAGCACATCACTCTGTCACTGCATATTTAATTCCTTCTAATGCAACAGCAAGTAATGTCTGCTTAATGTCTCCAGGTAGTGAAATGCAGGTATTACAGATCATGTCTGGTCATGGATTTAGGCATTAGTTAATATAGTAGCAGATTATCTTATTGTTTTAGACCAGTGCTCCAGTTAAGAGGTAGTTCAAGAGACCCCAAGCATAAACCAGAGAGCTACAAAGATCCCAGCATAAGACTACAACAGAACAAGTGCTTTTTTTACCAAATATTTTTTCCATCAAAAGTGTAATGGCAACTCAGAGGCCTCCTGTACAAGGCGAATGGGAGGGGTGTGTGTTTTTGTTTAACTCGATCCTGTGTGTTATTTAGAAGTGGTTTTGTCGGCTTCCTGAGCTGCCAGCAGGGAGCGCGCCGGTGCCAGCGGGGCCCGCAGGGTTCTCCCGAGACAAATCCCTGACATTTCCTACCGCGGCTGCGGCAACTCGTACTCACCGATGGATGGCAAATGCTGCTCGGTTGATGGGTTTAAATTATATGTCACTGCTATAGGGTCCACATTGAAGAAAGTACTAAAAAAAAAAAAGAAAAAAAAAGCCTTCACTGTAAATGAACCATAGGTCTGTACTGGCACAAGTATTCATAACACCCATTTCATAGACTTGAAGACGCAATAGATAAATTTCAGCCTCACTCACTTTTCAAATCCACTGTGGGTACCCCAGCAGGTTTTCAGACTGCCCATGCCTTGACTGGTGTGAAGAAATCCGGTTTTTAAGGGGACTCTCATCTCCTGAGCAGCAACTCCTGCAGTTGACATTGTGCCGTGTTCTCTGAGGATGTCTCACAACCCTTGATATTCAGGACTTGGCAGGTTTCCTGCAGTTTTCATTCCCTTCAAGAGGGAGAACACAAAGATCAGAAATGCAAACGTGATGTTGTTCCATGTCTCATCTGAAATTTCAGTATTCAAGGAATTAAATAGCTCTGTAGAAAGGCCTCCTGTCCTAATACTTGCCAACTGGAAAACTTGACCAAGCTTCTTGTTTTGAGTCTGATTGCAAAATTAAAGTACAAAACAGGTAAGTTATCTTAAAGAACTATACCACATAGAAAAAAAGGAAAAATATGTTAAGGTATTGATATATGGCAGTTGTGTATCCCACAACTTCAGTTCTTGAACATAAACTACTAGTTACTCATGAAAAAAAAAGGTTTTTAAAACGTTTTCTAGAACAATCTAAACTTCCAGTAGCTGCCTTCAGTTCTATCTTTCTGCTAAAGATTTTAGCTTCCAGTGTAACCAATGTGTAACAGCCTGCTCTGCTGTTAAGTATTATCTTCCACAGCCTTTGCTCTAATAAACAGAATTATTGACTACTTGAATTAGAATTCTAAAACTTCTTTTACATAAAACAGTAACTACTTTTAACTAACTTAAACATTAAGATACTTTAAAACAGCCTCAAGCCTTCTAGCGATTTCAAACAAATTGAAAATCCAGTGATTTGAAATAATCTCAGCTGAAACTGTTGTGCTGCATTCAAATCTATGTTGAATGTGTGAAGAATGCTTTATCTGGCCCATTTATGGCAGAAAAAATATGTTGGCAATTGCTTTATATTGAGTAAGTAATCAGTCTACAGAACAAATTGACTCACAGGACTTTGTTTAAGAAATTCATCAGGGAGGGGAAGGGGAAATGTAAAATTAGTCAGCATTCTGAAGGCAGGAGAAATTAAGTCCAAGACTACAAAAAATATGTTCTCTGGGTCTCTGCCTTCATCTAACACAAATATCCTACATTCAGCAAGTGCAATGTAGTCTGTTTAAAAAAACATGAAAAATCTACCAACCCAAACCCCAAGCAAAACAGTTTAATTTGTATCTCTCTTGAGAATCAATACTATGAACATATAATATTAATGTGAGTTTGTCCAATCCCTCCACCAAAAGATTCCATCTAAAGAAAAATCAACCAACAGCTGAGGGCTGGCTATATCAGGGCTCAGCAAACAAGGCAAGAAAAGCCCTTCACAGTGTGGTACTGCAAGAAAATGTGGTACAGACACAGGTAGTAGCTTATGCTCATGGTAAATCTGCCCAAAACCAAGCATTCTCTGCAGATGTGTAATCTTCCTTTTCCTTTAGGAGAAAAGATCCATTATACTTGTCTGCAGTGTGAGGGATGGGCAAACTCCCAAGCAGGACTTAGGACAGTAAAGCAGGTTTAGTTTGCAATCCAGCATCACTATTTGCAATTTCTGAACAACTGTTTGAGAAAGAGTGCAGCAGAGTTGTTCTTTCTATTTTGAATTGGGTCAGTATTGATCATCTTAAGAAAACAAGTAGCTTCTGTATGTCTATGGTGTGAGACCTAATCCCATTCTCTTCAGGAGCGTGATGGTTTTCTCAATCCTGACTGTCTGCATCAACAGAAGTGGGACTGTTTTACTCACTGCCAGATACCCAATATATTTTAGGCAGGCATTTCAGAATAACTCTAGAAGGGAATGAGGGCCAAACCAGTGTTCTATGTATTGCAGCACAGACTGCTTCATTCAGCCCTCCTGATTTTAGTAAAGACCATCCTCTATCCTCCATTCTCTAACCTCCTTATAAAGCTAGCTTAACCCTGGAAATTTTTGCATAACACAGTTCAGTTGGACCCTTCCCACTAACAGGAACTGCAGATATTTCATAGCAAAATTAAATAAAAATACAGAGCCCCGGGAAGCAATAACACAGTCCTGTAAGTGCAAGCAGAACCACTCTCTTCAGGGGAGCAAACACTAGAGATACCCATTTGTCAAAATGACTTAAGCATTTATTAATGACTTAAGCATACAGTACACATATAGCACCAATTCTAAAATTGCTTCATATCAACGTAATTTCCAAATAAAGCATCCATCTTATCAGCTCACACTGTATTGAACAGGGATTTTTTTTTGTGCCTCACAGATCCTATCCTATTAGCAACAAATCTACAAAAGAAAGAAAATTAATTAAGAGAGCTTAAGACTAATGCCTACTATCCATTTCAATATTTCTGAAGTCAAATGCAAGTCACAAATTAAAAAAATGCTGGTATAGAACACTGATTAGTCAGCAAATGATTGTACTCCACCTCAGTGTGTGTACAAGATCTGACAGGACCATGAGACATTGATTATGATATAAAATATGAGGGGGGGAACAACTGCTGTAGTTTGAGAGCACATGTAACCTGCTAGCTGTGATAACATACAACCCTTGCAGGGCTTGTTAAGCCCAACCTCCACCAAATCCCACGCCTAAACCACTACTAGTAATTACTGTGTCAGCTTTCTGAATGCTGTCTAAATCTCAGCTCTCAAGACTGATAGTTGCACAATCACTCTCTGAAATCTCTCTGGAATGCTAAGCTCAACATCTGAAACAGACTTAAATATTTACATACTCTAGGAAAAGGTAATTTTCACTTGTTTCAGTCTTGATTTTTTAAAAAGAAAGCGCAATTTATATAGCCATAAAGCTTGCCTCATTTATCAATGACCTCTTTGCGAATTCACAGGTGATCTGCCTTGACATTTCAGAGAGTTATGAAACTGTCCTCTGTGCCTTGAGCTAGGATATCAAGAGAGGTAGTGCTTTCACTAAACCACCCAGTTACTTTTTCAGTGGAGTCTAGAGAAATGGTGCTTCTATTTTAAAACATGCATAAGCTTGTTTGAAGACAGTATCTTAAGAGGGAGACATGAGAGCAGTAATTGAATACAAATTTTGTATTTTAGACAGCATGCTCTTACTAAAGCTGAGTAGTATATATTATATTGTAGGAATTGGCATTAAAAAAAATACAAAAGTCAGCCATGAAGATATAAACATCAACAGTTTTCACTGTTAACTGCTGTCCCAATTTTGCCTCCTTATAAGTTTAAGGATCTAAACTTAGCCATAAATAACATCAAACTATATTAGCCAAAGAAAATGGACACTGCACAGTCATGAAGCATTCCTGATCTCCCGTTTGTGTGCTGCTCATTTGCACAGAATGGGCTTTCAGTTACTGTGCTTGTCTGACCTACTTATGCAGTTTATGGCATTTAGGAAGATCGAAGCACTTTTGAAGATAGTACAGTTTGTGTTATTCAAGAGAAATGGAGTACAAACTGGCTGGCTGGTAATTTCTACAGGGCATTTACAAGCCAAGGCAATTGGAAGATTTGCTGGTGCATTAGGAAGCTGCTGACACCCTTCCCTGTAAGGCATGGTAACAGTGCAAAGGAGGTGCTTGTAATCATCCAGCTCTGCTTGTATTAACAAATCTCAATAACAACAAGTATTGGGGAGGAGACTGATTTTTAATTTATTTTTTTTTACAAAGCCAAATATACCTTCAGACTTCAACAGGAGGGCTATGTGTAAGCCAAAAAAGTCAAATGTCCACAAACAGCAGTGTATCTACACAGTGAGAACTGTGGACAGCTTTTTGTGGTAAGTTGAATTATGGCAAATACCCCAAATACACTGTTTTCATACAGATACATATTAATAAATACTTGTGTTATAACAACAGGAACCCTCTGTTTAGAAACTAAGAAGCATTAGCATATATATTTAGCTCAACCTATTACCTATCACCGATCACACACAGAATCTTATTACTCTGTTCCCTGTTCTCCCAGCCCCAACGCAACCAAGTATTTGAGGCAAGCTCAGTTCATAACAAAGAAAACCTTTCTGGTACGCACAGTAGACCAAAGCATGCTCTAAATGTTTCACTTAATGGGAATGGAACACAGCAACTTGCTGTACAGATTCTGAATGCCTGTACAAACTTTCGACAGGTTGTATAAAGGCAGCACTCTTGACAAGGAGCTTATAATACTTCTTGTAAGAAATGGGAGAGAGGGAAAAAATAAGACCTGCTTCCCCCTTTTGGGAGGGGAAGAAACGTGTCTACCTTAAATCCACAACCTATTTTTGCTCACCTTGCCACCACATTATCTTTAACAAATCTCAGAAGCAATTCACAGGAGGAGGGGCACATTTTTGCACTACAAGTCATCTACTCCAGCTAGCTGTTCCTTATTTGACAATGTGATGTAATTTCCTTTTTCTCCTCTGACTTTCTATTTAACGTAAGTACCTGAGATAGAGCCACCCCTTTTCATGTTTAAGTATTTCAGACTTCCAAGTATTGGACTTTAAAAATCTAAGTGCTGTTAATATACTTTCTGGAAATCCAAATACTTTTTAAAAATATTAAAAATTCTGTTTCTCTAGTTCTTATCCTTGAAGTACTTCTGTCTTTGCAGCTAGATGAATGCTGAGTGACCAACTTAGCAGAAACTGCCTCATGAGAAGGTTAGTTTAAATCTATTCACTTAATAAATAATTAAATCTTCTTTACTATACACCAAACCTCCACAGTACAGTTCAGTGTTCCTGAGTCACAGGCCAAAGCATGCTCAGATACAGGCCTCAGAAGGTATTTCCATTTACAGGAATTATATTCTTTACAGTTATTGTATAAATGAATTACATTCTTAACTTTGAGGTATTTTTCTACACATTCTGCCAACCAGAAATGGACCACTCTGTGGTAAAGAATTAAAGACTCTGATCACTAAACAGTCAAATCATGGGTGCTTGCAAATAAAACTAATCCTATGGGTATACAACAGACCAATCACCTGAACAGCAGACAAACTCTGTATTTAGATTGTAACAGTCAGCTGTTTGGAATATATTCCAAGAACCACAGTTCACCAAGGAGTTTAAGTTCAGTTAAAATTTGGGCTACCATTTCACAGTCCTACAGAACAAATGGGAGTAACCTTTAAATTGCCAGTAGAAAACTAATAATTAAATAGCAAGACAATTGCCTTGCCTCTGCTTGTCAGATTTCAGATGCATGCTTAAGGTATGGTACTTCACCCTCCTGAAAATTTTAATGTGAATATAGACAGCTTACATTCAGGAAATAAAAATTCCTTTCCAGCTGACTCAGACTCATAACCATAGTGTTAGACACACTGTGATAAGTTTTAATTCTCTTTTCTACTACAGAGAACTGGAACTGTTTTTCTCTAAAATAAGTCCTGTACTGGAGAGCATGGCAGACACAGGGCTTCACCAAGAACATATGCCCACCAACTCAACAGGTAGGTTGATATTAAAAAAAAATTCAGAAAATTATCCCATATAGGTAGATTACTAAGGGAAGACAGCTGAGCTTGTGCATAAAGTAAATTGAGTGAATAATACAGACGAATTGAACAGTTTAACAGCTAGTAAGTGCAATTCACAAATGCATTTGTGATGCAGAGGCATCATTCACCTGCCATTCCAGTACAACAAAGATCCAGGTTTTCCCAAAAGGACCGAAGACACCTTGCCCCCAGAGCCTCTCCCATCCAGTTACTATGTAAAGAGGTACTGTTATCTTTGGATATCAAGCACGGTACATTTTTTGCTTATTCAGAATGCTGCAGAGGGCCCTCGGTCGGTGCTGCAGTGACAGCAGAGCACTGAGCTCTCCCTCGAGCCCCGGCCTGCTCGCTGCGCTGTCAGTGCTGAAGGATACAGCGATGTCTCCAGATTTAACCACCACAGACTGGCTATTTTAGAAAATCGAGCATAAGTGCGTAATGAGGTATTAAGTCACAAAGAAATGTTTATTCTAAATTAAGCCAGCCTAAATTAGAGTGCGAAGCGCAGAGCCTGAGCCCACAGTGCGGTCTCTTGTTTACTCACGGGAGCGAGAGGAGCAGCTCGGAAGGAGGGAGAGAGCACAGATACTGTTTCGGGTCAGGAAGAAAACGCGTGGCACGCCACGTTGATTTTCAAGAATGTAGCTGCGGGCTCCGCTGACCCCGGGCGGGTCCCGTCCCCCTCACGGGGATTCCGGCCGCGGCGAGCGGGGCGAATGTGGCACCGGGATCGCCCGGGGGGAGCGGAGCCGCAGCGGCGCCGGCCCTGCTGCCCCCCGCCCCCTCAGCACAGCAGCACCCAGCGCGCTCCCGGCTCCTCCCGGCCGCCGCCGCCGGCCCTCACGCCCGCCGGCGGGAACCACACCGCGGCTCCGAGCCCCGCGCTCGGCCAGCCTCGGCTCCACGGCCCGACCCACTCGCGTGTGCCGCCGGATCCGCCGGCCCCCGCTTCCCTCCCCAGCGGCGCGGCAGGGACGCGCTGGGCCCGAGCGGCGGGCGGGCAGCCCCGGTGCGCCGGGCGGGCCCGGGGGCCGCCATGGCGGCCAGGGGCGCGGGAGGTGCCGCGGGGCCGTCACTCACCCCGACAGTGTCGCGCAGCTCCGCGCGGCCGCCGGCGCCACACGCATGCGCCGCCCCAGCGCCGGTCACTGCCGCAGCGCGCGCCGGCCGCCGCTCTTATGGAGGGGGGCGGGACCGCGCGTGGCCCCGCCCCGCCCCGCGCGGCGCGTTCGTCACGGGAGGCCTTAAAGGGGCGGGGGCGCGCGCGCCCGCCCGTGAGGGTGCTGTGGCGGCTTCCGGTTCCGCCGGGCGCGGGGGCCGCGGCGCTTCCCGGCGGGGGCCTGGGCGCAGGCGGTGCCGCTGCTGCTGCTGCTCCGCGCCCGCCGGCGGGAACGGCCCCCGGGGCGCCCTCTGGGCAATGCCGCCTCCGCCTTGGCACCCCTTCCGCCCCGGCCTGCGGGACCGGCCGCCTCCGGGCTCAGGGAGAGCGGTGTTTGGCAGGCGGGGGTGAAGAAGCGCGGCGAGCTGAGGAGCTGGCGCTCACAGCGGCGGGCAGGCAGCGCCCGCCCGGGGATGCTGAGGCGGTGCCGCTCGGTTCTCCAGCTCTCGCTGTCCTGCCCGGGCCCTCTGGCTTGCCCTGGCCGCTGTGCTGGTCCCTCAGGGGGCTGCCTGCTGCTGCTCCCCTTCTCCCGTCCCCGCGCTCCGTTTCCTGGGGCGGCAGTCCCTCGTTCTGTTCCCTCCGGCCGATCGCCGTCCTGTCCCCGCCGCTGTCAGGGCACCGCACTGCCCCTCTCTGCGGGGAGTTTCCCTCCGCCTTCCCCGGGCTCGGAGCCGTCCCCGCGGGCAGCAGGGAGCGCTCGCTCTCCCGGCCCGGTCCCGAGCGAGCGGGCGCGGGGCCCGGGCCAGGAGGAGGCGGCGGCCGTGGCTCCCCGTGTTTCCCTTCTCCCCGTGTTTCTCCCCATCGGTGCCTCATGATTTTCTCTCGTAAAAGGGTCCGGGCGCTGAGGTGGGGCCCGTCCTTGCCCACGCGTGTTGGTGACCAAGTGTTGTGCAGTCACGGGGAATCCCTGTCCTTTAGTTTTACTGGAAGGAGGGAAAACACCAAACCTTTCACTGTTGTAGGAGTTGGACCTGTGAATGTCAGTTTTCTTGAAATAGGAATATTTGTGTTGAAATAAATCCATCTTCATGTGTAATGATTTATTTGGCATCTTGAGAAAATATGGGTGGGCTCTCACAGATTTTACAGTATTTTGTTTTTAGACATAGATTTGTGGTGGTAAATAAACCACAGTGGTCAGAAAAGAAGGATTCGTGGTGAAAGCTGCTGTTTAAAGACTTGAGAACATTTACAAGTGATGCTGTTCATTACAGCATAATCAATAAGAATCAGGCTTTTGATCCGTTTTGCTCTGCAGTGCAGTAATTTCTTTGTTGGAGAAAGAAAGACCAGTGAAACTCCCAGCACTGAGAGGTGCTAACAATAGGATCAACAAAATGTATCTTCTATCTATACTCTTTGAGCTACAATAGTTAGTGATACTTTAAGAAAGAAGAATTCTTGATTTCAATGCATGATGTGATTCATGTCTGCAGTTGGCTTCTCCTCTTTTCTCTTTGGGGTTTCTTTTGACCTCTGGTGAAAGTCCCCCCATTCACCCTTGTTCTTAGGGACAATAAGATCTCCTACTTATGTATTTTTGTCGTAAGATCTGTTGTACTGCTGTGAAAATGCAGGTGCTGTGAGAGAAAAAAGGGCAGGGTTGTAACCTAGCAGAGATTTCCAGTGTGAAAAATGATGAAGAGGTCCTCTGAAGTTGACTGGATATGTTATGCAGGTGAGAGAAAGTGAAAAGAATATAAGAGGAAGTAGAAGGCATCGAAAGAAAGAAGGGGAGGAGAGTGGGGGTTTGTGATTTTGATGAATTGGGGTGCACTTAACAGAGACTGCAGGATGTTTGTGTTCTGGTGGCAGTGGTTTGTGCTGAACTGTACGTGCTCAGAGACTGCTTCCAAGTGTTTGCTGTACTTCTATTGTTCTGGACTTGAAGACCGTGACTAATGATTTCTGTGGATAAGCTGGCCCTGCAACATTAGTTATCTCAAGTTTAAATTGTCCTGGTTGCATGAGGAGAAAGTAATTTCTTTTTCTTTTCTTTTTTTCCCCCTCTTTTTATTTTTTAAATTCTGGTGTGTTGATGTACATAATGACCGATATGCAAACAGCCCTAAATGGATACAAAGGACAAACTTGTCTTTGAAATATTTTTCACAGAGTGTTGACATGACTTCAGTAGGACAAACTCATGTATTGCCTCTGTAGTGGAACATGAGGAATAATAGATGTTTGGCTTCTTTGTTTGTTTGTACCTGAGAATCTTTGATCCAGGAAAAATTCTTTGTGGTGTTCCCTACAGGTGTTACCCTGTGGCCTCTGTACTTCTATCAGCAGGCCTTGTTTTATTTTGTTAGATAATTTTGGAGTTAGTTTATGTGCATGTAATTGTATGGAATTTTTGTCTCTTACTGTTAAATAAGTTTACCTATGGCCTTTGTTCACTAAAACTCTATGCCTTAAATTTCTGATTGTCCTACTGAATAAAAACATTTAGTAATTGTGTCACTTGCAGTAGTTTCTGTGCTGACTTGAGGACAGAGGAAATTGAATTCTGCAGCAACAGTTACATTCCCATTTCTCTCCCTTCTTTGCAACCACCTCATAGTTCTGTAGGCATGTGTAAACCACATTTTGTAATTTGCTAAGTGCCCTGAAGAGTAACTCCTAAGTAGTCTTCAGCACCATGGGTCATCAATACTAATAACAAGTCTGCTAAAAACAACAGCTCAGTATTATGAGAGGCCTTCAGCCTCTCCTGTAGCAGGTTTGGAGATGGATAGCAGACTTTTCTGTATTTAATAAATGAACTGTCTGAATTCTGTGATAAAATAATGGCATGGACTTTCATTCATGATGCTACCTTTCATTTGAGGCTTGTCTTTGCAGAGAGGATCCCAGAGATACTCAATGTCCTTTGGTCTGTTGTCATGTTTCTAGCTTGCTTTGCAGCCTCTACCTTTCCAATGATCAGTCCCCTTCACATTTCCTGTTTTCAACACTTGAAATTTTCAGTTGCTCTTTCTGTTTGTTTTGAGAGGAGAAAGGCATGCATGTAAAGCAACAGCTGGAGAAGCAAAAGGCAAAATCTTTGTAGGAAGCTAGAAAATTACAAAAAACTTAATACTGAAAGACTTAATGGAAAATAATAGGTACATATTTTAATATAGATACTAGAGATAAAGCTCCTCTTAGATAAAGCTCCTGTACACTCATTCTTTAGATTGTTGTGATTTTTTTAAAGCCTCCTTCCATAAACAACAACTTTGTTTTACAGTAGCTGCTGCTGTATTATTGCTTAATCGTACTTATTTGTGGTAGATGCTCTTGAGCAGGAAGCTTGGGGTTTTTTTTTCCATGCTCTCTGGTAAGCATGCCTCCTGTCTGGTTGCCTGAAAGGGAATGAGTAGCTTAGACACTTTTCTTCTTGGCCTTGTTAATGACTAGAAAAAGTAATTGTGGTCAGTCATCAGAGAGGAAAAGCTTTCCTGAAGAGAGGTAAACAAAGTGCAAGTTGGATGCTGTGGTGTTAGTTTTTGCATGACTAGTTATGTGAGTGAGGGTGGTGTGGATACGTTTCTGTTGCACCTCCAGAGGTGCTTCTGCAGAGCCAAGATCATGTGTCACAAGTTAGTTCAAATGCAGCCTTTCTGAACCCTTTAGTAAGACATTGCCCTGGACAAGCAAACCTAGCAAAATGCAGTACCGAAGGTGGTTTATGAAAATGTCTTTCCATCATGAGAAGTCCTGAATTCTGTCATTGTTCAACAGTTTAAAATTCAAGACCTTTGCCTTGGCTTGGATGCTGGCTTCCAAAAGAAATGAGTTATCATGTGGCTCTTACCTCTTTCTTAAAAATCACACCCTTTGCCTCAAGCAGAACCAGGATGTGCACAGTAGGAGTTAAACTATGCAATCCTTGTGTAGCTGCATTTTATCTTATTCAGGTACTTATCTTCTGTTCTATTCTGTGGTAATCTGGTTGAGTGGATCTACATATGAACGTTGAGGTTAAGGACCCTGGTGGTACTCTCTGACATGAAAATGTAAACAAACTATGGAGATAATAAAATTCTTAGTTACCTAAGTTTTGAACGTGTACCACCCTGAACTGAGGAAAAGCAACTTAAGCATGTTTATTCCAGGGGGAAAAAACAATACATATGGGACACATTAGAATTGCTGTAGTCTCACTGAACTGAGAAGTCAGAGACTGGTGCAGTGGCTGTAAACTGATGTGCTGGTACATGAATGGAGGAATATCTCCCAAATTACAAGCAGTTAACCTTTATACTTCTATTCTTACTGTACAGGGCATGCTGCATGGTGTCGTGTGGTGCTTCCTGTGGGATAGAGGAATGTAGGGAAGGGGCAGAGACAATGAGTTTAAGGCATTCACAGATCAGCAGTGCAGACTCTCACATAACAAGGGTAAACTAGGTGCAACTGTACAGACCTGATGCTGAAATTCAGCTTTGAACAGGGGCCATTACTCAGTCTTTGTTTAAATTGTCCCTATACAAGACTTTAAAGCAATTGGATAATGCTAATTTGTCTCTTAAGCCATCTGTAGAAGCTGACACAGATAGCAAATCTTTTATGCTTCAGGCATGTGGAAGTGGTTTGTGATGCAAACATACTATCTAAAAGTGGAAATACAGCATGGCTTTTGTGAGTTCTTGTCTGTGTACCTTGATTACATCTCTGTCTCAGTGCTGCAAATACCAGAAGTTTTACTTGCTTCAAAAACTAGTCACAGAAAGCCTGATGAAAGAAAAATCCATTAAGGCTCTAGGGAAAGTGCCTTGTATCAGACTGCTGGGAACTGGGAGGGGAAGCTGCCCACTGCCCTAAACATTTGTTTCCTTTTTTTAACCCATGCTAGGGCAATGCTGAATTAGGTGGACCTTGGGATTTGGGGCAGCGCAGCTGCTGTTGGAATGCATCTGTATTTTTGA